TGTAATTGATTCCCTCGTCACAAAATCAAGAAGAAAAGTGTTCAATTGCCCACTATTTTGAGAAAAATTAGTGAGGCCTCATATTCATTACAAGAAATCAAATAATAAAAAAATTTCTTAAGGAAATAGAATATTTTTTTATCAAAATATTGGCTTTAGATTGCTGATGCTCCTCTAATTATAATATTGTTTTAGCCTCGATTCCCTTAATTACTTTTTGCCTCATAATTGTGTTAACACTAGTTTGTAGACTTGGACGGTTAGGCCCCTTTCTCCTAAAACCTAAAAGGACCACTTGGTGAGAATGTCAAAGGGATTGCAAGCAACCTCAGGATATCTTCCTTATCTTGGGTAGTTCGGTGGGGAAATCTACCCTTGATCCTCGATTATTGGTATGTTAATATAACACATTATAACAACCAAAGGCATTACCTAAATTCACTTAAAATGACTTACGACACCAATCAAAAAATAGGGAGGGCCTTATCATTAGCATCACGCCCCATGTTTGGTATGACTAATACTATACAACAAAACTTTGTATTGGCTAGTCCTTACAAGCATTTTCTTAGACGCTCCAAACATAAAGCAATTTAGGCATAGACAAACCTTCACCATATAACCTTCTATGAATTCCATTACCTTTTGCATAAAATAGAGTTAGACTTGCAACTATAAAAGTTAGCAACAATTTCCCATTAACAAATTTATGTAAATAGTGTATTTAGTGTGTGAAAGATCATGCAAAGTCATTGGGTACAAATGAAATGGATTACTCAAATGGACTCAGCCCATTAGATCCATTGATAAAAGAGTAAAATGCAAAGCAAGGCCTAAGAGCATCAAATACCAACTAAGAACTTAATTGTAAATCAAGTATTATAATATATCTTCTAGACTTTTATTTACTATTTCAATTTAGCCATATGTTTGAATACAATTATTAGTAGGAAAAAGAAAAAAGAGTTTCCATAAATAAGTTGTTTATCATCTTTTCTTCCAAGGAGGAGAGATTAGCTTAAAAATTTCATAAAAAAAATAATTATGTCATGAAAATGTAAAATTTTAAAAGCATTTGTTATTTCAATGCAAGAAATAAAATGTAAAATTTTACACATTCTATACATAATAACAAAATTAAATACATACCTTCAAATAATAATTAATATAATTTAACAAAAAACAAGCCCATATTAAGGTCTTCCTATGGTGAATATATAGAACAGGTGACATTGTGTATAACCCAAAAATATGTTGCTTACATGTGTATAACCTAGTATGGTATTGTTTTCTTTAGATTAAATGAAAATTTTCAAAATATGCAACAACTTGTGCAAAATCATGCGTAAGACAAAGATAAAAGTAATTCCCCTATATCTGGTTTATCCATCATAAAATGTCTGGCACTACCTTGATATCTACTTCTAAAATTAGAAATCCTCACAATGAAAATAAAGTACAAAGGGATACCATCTTTAAACAAAAAAAATAATAACTATCACAAACAGAGCAATCAATATTAAAGTACGAATCACTAGTAAGTGCAATAAAAACATCCTAAAATCACTTAATAAAAGATAACATACCATCCATCTTTCTCTGTGCATTAGTTGATTTATTCCCAACATGTGATAACATCTAAGAACAAAATTTCAAAGTTCAAAAACCTCAACCCATTTAGCATAGTTGCATTGTAACTCTTTTAAAATTTAAATACTTTTGGGCTTCATGATAGAAAAATATTTTCATGAAAACAAATAGTATCTCATAAGTATGAAAACTAATCAATTTATCAAGCTCGCGTCCTTTTCCTTCTCTTGCAAGTTCATGTAAAACTCTCTCTCTCTCTCTCTCCATAAGTATGAAAACTAATCAATTTATCAAGCTCGCATCCTTTTTCTTCTCTTGCAAGTTCATGTTAAACTCTCTCTCTCTCTCTCTCTATTTGAATCACACTCACTTGTATTCTGCCATTATTATTCTTTTTGTTATTTGGTCTAGCTCCACTTTCCCTTAATCTCGCACCTACTTTCCTAGGTATTTATCTCGCCTCTTCTTACTCTCCTCTTTTTTTCTCTCTCATCCTACTAACTTCTCTTTTATCAGTCACATTCTTTCTAAAATATGTTTTTCCTCCCCAAAATCATTCATAAAACTTCCTCTAAGAGTCTAGACAATTTGTTGAAAAGAATAATTAGGATGATGAAGAATAAAATACTTAAAGAATGAGTTAGAGAAATGGTTTCATGAAACTCCCTCTAAGAGTCAGAATAATTTGGTTCAAGGGAATGATTTGGAAGATGATGAATCAACTATTTAGATTATAGGCTAAAGAAATGGTTAAATTGCTTCCATTATAGGGTAGAAACCAAACATCCAAATAAAAAATTACTTTATTACCAAGAGTGTCTCTCTTTATGCATTATTTTCTCTATTCACATATGGGTTCCCCTCTCTTCCGTTAATCTCTTAGCTTAACCATCACAACTCCTCTCATCCTTCTCTCCTCCACCCTCTCTATCTCTCAACATGGTACCTTCACTCTATCCACACATCCCATTTTCTCTCTTAAAATTGTTGTTACTCCCCAACGGATGCATCAATATATTGAATATCCTGTACAAAAAATGCCTCCCGGCCAAATGGCCCAAATGTTATCAAATAAACTTTCTCAACAAAATCCTAACAAAGTGACATGGCGGATCAAATTTGATAGAAGATGCTTGGAAACAAGGTAAATGATAAAGGATGCAACAAGCCTTTTTTTTCTTTTTCTTTCTCTTTTTTTTTATAATTTCATTTAATTTGAGACTACGCTATATATATGTTTTTTATTTACTCACATAATTAGTTTTTTCATAAAATAGCCTTCACATCATTTCCAAGCAAAAGCACAAGTTGGAGTGCTTTTAAGACTTTATAATAAAGATGCCTAGAACTGAAAAAAGACGGGCAAACAAATTTAATTATTGGAAATAGAACAAATAAATATAGAGTACAGCATAACTAAACCAATGTTCATGAAGCGTTGAGCATGATGTGATGATATACAAAGATTTTGTTTTATTCAATACATAAAGCAAAGCAGCACTTTTACTAACTAGAGCACTAATGATATGTACATAATCTATAAATATATTACGTGCATAAAATAATTATTTAATTAATCAAGCTTAAAGCACAATAAAAAATAATTTTCAATATATATAATGATATATTAAATAGCAATAACTTCTAGCTATCTCAAAATTACAGAATAATGAATCGAAGTTATAAAAAATAGATAAAATAAGCACTTTAAAAGAAAAAATCATGAGATCGAGAGACAAACTAGAGATCAAGAAGTTGAGGCAACATAAAGTGACAATGAAGATGAGGCACCAAGAAGCATCCAGAGGATATATTGAGATCTCTAGAAGCATGAAAGTGAGAAGAAACTAGCGAAAACAATAAGAAAAGGCATAAAGCATAAAAAAAACCATAAGGCAAGAGAGAGTGAAGAGGAGAATCACCAAGATACCACTAGCACCAACAAGAGAGAACATAGAACTAGCCAAAACTCAATAGCTACGAGTAACCATAAAAAAAAACAACAAATATTATGATATATTAAATAACAATGATTTCCAGCTACCCAGAAACAATAAAATAAAGAACAAAAAATATAAAATTTGATAAAATAAACACCGTAAAATCCAAAATTATCATGATTTTGAAAACCAACTATAGATTAAAAGATATAGGCAATTTGAAGTGAGAGGTAGTAAATATGAGGCCCGGTGAAACATTTTGAGGATACACTAAGATCTTGAGAAGAATTATATAATAGAGGAAAATATGGCAACAATAGTAAGTACCAAAGAGCAATGTATTAAAAAAAAGAGAGAGCAAGAGTCGTGAATAGGAGAACCAGTAAGAAGGACCTAGCTCGGCAAGAGAAAATATATAAAAAGAAATGATTCGACTATTATGAGAACCAATGAATAAAAGCGAATGTTTATGCCATAAATACTATGGCGAGTGAAAAAAGCCATTAAATCTAAACCGAGTTTTAGATTTGAGCCAAAGCGAGCACGTAGTTCGTAAGCTAAGCTACAAGCTTATGCTTGGCAAAAAAGTGATACAGAGGGCTAGCGCATCGCTTTGTTTCACTTTATTAGCACAAGTTAGTGACACTAGACTAGTAACGCTTTGATTTCCATGATCATTAAATTGATGTTAACTTAATTAGTGATATTCTGAATGTGAGTTTATCATATCTCTATAATATCGAAATGCCTCCATCTTAAATTTAAAAATTCAGAACAATACGATGAAACTCCATAGCATACAAATATGGCAGCAATGTTAACACAAACCGGATCAATACTACTTGAGATAAATAATATAAAAATTTTGAAACTAATAGATCAACTTCAGTATTTGAAGAATCTTGCTAAAATAAATAAATAAAGATAGCAACAAAAGGTACTATCTTCATAGTTGAAGAGCAACAGCCAAAAATATTTCCAACTTTACATTTTTCCCAAGTAGCCATGAAGAATTAAAATTAGCCAAAAACATAAACTACAGGCATACAGAGTGACTTTTTAAATTACAAGGAGATTACAAGAAACCTCTAAATATAGCATGATCCAAGTAATTTTCCAGATTTTGAGCATTTTAGTATCGCATCAAGCATTTCCGATTACTTTAGAAAAACAATTGAATGCCACAAAATTATTATGTATCCACATATTAAAAAATAAAAATTAATATTTACATACATAACACTCAAATCTTTAGCAGCACATCAAAAAACACCACAACACTTAACGTTTGCATATCAGCATGTGCTAATTAAAAATTGACGTGGATGGAGGAATTAAAGATTGAATCATGGTAAACAGTGAAAGCGGCACTGAATGTGAAGAAATGCACAGTGGCAATACTCGTTCTCCCGTTTTTCCCTAGGAGAAAAAAACGCAGATCAGATGAACGAACAATAACAAAAACCTAACCAGTTCCTGCCGAGCACCTCCTCGGCAAGGTAGCCTGTTGCCTTCTCGAACCCCTCGTTGACATAGATGATCGGCTGATCGGGCTCGAGCGCATCTGACACCACCAACCCGTAGGACGACGGCGCCGACCCTAGCGCGCTTTCAACTGCAGCTGACAACGGCACGTTGCTGCCATTCAGTAGAAACGCTGCCCCCACCTCCTCTGCCTCTGCCTCGTCCTCGCCACTACTGGGATCATCCAGATCGCTGTCCCACTCCATAGAGAGCTCCCGCCTCAAACCCTAGTCAGAGATTTCAACCCATGGAAGACCTGGGAGGAGCGAGCAAGCAGAAGAAATATCGTTATATTCTTTCAAGGCAATAGAAATATCGAAGCCAGAAAGATATTTGCGTCGTTGCTTTCCGTTTTTGGCCTTTTTTTTACTGTGAGGGAGAAAGGCGATGTTTTCCGGTAAGAGTTTTGGTAAACATACTATTCGTGAGCTGATTGAGTTCTTTCGGGTGGATGGTCGGCTGCAGCTGTGAAGAGAAAGGAAGCAATAAAATATCGTTATATTCTCTTGAGGCAATTTCAAGAACATTTTCATTATTTAAAAATTTAATATTTGTATATTCATATATTTATTATATATTTAAAATTAAAAACTTAAATTTATAAGAAAAAAACTACATTATGATCTAAGACATTCGAGCGTATTTTCTGTCTGGACTCCTGACTTAGCTCTATTTGTCGCGGAGGTTATTCCTGAGTTATTTTCAGATTATTTCTGGGTTATTTTCAATAATCCCGAAATAACCCAGAAATAACTCAAAAATAAAGACCACGGGTTATTTCTGAATTATTTCGGGATTATTGAAAATTTATTTTCAGATTATTTCTGCGTTATTTTCAATAATCCTGAAATAAAAAATAAATACCAAAAAATAAATACCACGGGTTATTTCTGAGTTATTTCGGGATTATTGAAAATAACCCAGAAATAACTTGAAAATAACTCAGGAATAACCTCCGCGACAATAGTGCTACGTCAGGAGTCCGCACAGAAAAATTAGGCCAGACATTCGCACGATAAAACAAATGTATATTTTAATATTTTTTTATTTGTTTTTATTAAATTACTAGAATTTTAACTGAGACAAATAAATGCAGATATTTAATTGTTATAGATATTAATTTTGTAAAACTACATTTATTTAAGATTAATATATAACTCTATTAAATTCTTTTTTTATTATTATTGTTTATTATTATTAAGCATCATCATCTAAATAAAATCAGAATATGTTGAATTGCATTTAGTCTTACTTGCCAATTTTACATTCAAGGATTACAAAATAATGTTTAAAATTTATAAAGATGGGATGATTTATGTTTCATTGCATGATTCTAAATATATAATTTTGGTTAATGGCATTAAAATCAAAAATTAAGCTGGGGCAATTGAGTTATGTCAATATAAGATGAAATTAATTCAATCTAATATATTATTCATTTATTTGAGTCAAGTTTATTAATGCAAATATATTCTCTCTTCACCCTAGAAGTCGAAGCTTGGGTATATGAGTATGGAGTCTTAGGGTCCGTTTGGGGCAGCTTATTTGGTGCGGTAGCATTTTGAAAATGCACCTGGACTGTTTAGGTAAACTTCGTGTTGGCAGCTTGTGCGTTTTGAAAACGTCGAAAGCAGCGTTTTCACACAGCACCTATCTAGGTGCGGTGACAGCTTTCTGGCAGCAGTCTGGCTTTTCCAAGAAATATAAAAATTTCTAATAGTCACCGCACCTGTCTGGCTTTTCCAAGAAATATAAAAATTTCTAATAGGCACCGCACCTGGCTTATCAGCAATCAGCAAATTATTTTTAATCAGCTTATCAGCAGATTATTCAATAAGCTGCAGCCAGCTGCCCCAAACAGACCCTTAATGTCAAAAGAATGAAAAAATCACAATATTTCAAATCTAAGGGTCATGCTCCAATATTTATATTATAGAGCTTGCTTGGATTAGTCTCAAATTACCATAAAAGATGTTAACATTCTAGTAGGAGCTTTATAGGCCCTTAATGTTGTTGGTTTTACATACTTTCTATCCATTGGGTTCTTTCCTCTTACAATTTCTAAAGTTTTATAGTTGGTAATGATGATAGTTTCAAGGCTTTTCCCTTCATCTTGGTGACATTGAACAAAAAAAAAAAGATTGCTTTTTTATTTTCTAAAATTTTTATTTATTAATTTATTATTTGAAAACAAATATAAATTTTATCCTAATTCAAATTGTCACCCAAATTTATCATCTAAAAATTTGATTCAAATCAACATTGATCACATCAAGTAATAATGTTCGAAATTTGATCAATTAAAAGATATTGGCCACGTACTAGTTTTTTTATGACTAACAAGTTCAAATATATTGATAAAGTGAAAAATATCTTTTGGAATTTTTTAGATCATGAGTTCAAAATAAATTACTACATGGGCATGTTATATTCCACCAAAAGTTAATATCAATACAAAAAAAAATTTAGGAGTATAACAGATCATATAAAAGTAAGTAGCAACAAGAAAATTAAAATATGAATCTCAAGGCTCAAAAAGAAGTCATGGCAAGGGTAGGGAATGAAACCTAATACTCAAGATCATCTACATGAATGGTTGCATTGAATGAGAATGGCTGCGAATAAAATAGGATATAACATATCATTTGTGAGGCAAATATATCACTTAAATGACACTCTTTAACATCCAAAATCAAATATGTGAAATCCAAAAATCATGAATATCCTATAAACCAAAAAATAAATCACACAAGCCAAAGAAAAATTATTTTGAACAATCAACATGGATGGACCCTGCTACCTTTTTTTAATATTAGCATTAATGGCCCATTCGAATTTAAATAAAAGAGATGTTGTGTTGGTGGTTTCATTCATGAATTATTGATTGTTCTCTCTTTATATAGGCAATAAATGATAGAATAAATGAAGATGAAAAAATTTATATTTCAAGTTACAAAATAGAAGCCATATCATTTACTACCTCCAAACTCTACAAAAAAAAGAACTATGCATGAAAGTGACAACCCAAAGGAGTCATCTCTTGAGCACTGCATTCAATAATGAAAAGGCAAAAAGAATGCATGTGCCAGATCCTTTCCAGCATTATAAATAATGAAAAAGGGATGTTAATGTTCTGAAGGGCTAAAGCAACACTCACCTTTAATTGACCTTTAATGGTAAGCCAAAAGTAAATAGATTAGTGCAAAGCATACTTGCAATATCAAAAAAGTATCAACTAGTTAGCATTAGATTTACTGATATGAGGTGCACGATATACTATTTCATTGAGAACTTAATTCATTTGTTTGATTTTGCTCTTCATGTCAGAATTTTTAGCGGATGGAGAAACCTACTACATCCTAAGCTAATATCCTAACATAAATACTCCTTTGTGGCATGTTGGTAAGCATGTGTTAAGTTGCGGGTTGAAGCGCAAATGGGACACCTTGTCGACAGATCAACATGGATCTTATAATAATATTTTAAAGGGCCTCACTAATGCTCCTAATTGTGTTGATCATTAATCAATCTAGCAGAGGTCCTCCCATGTTATCTTAGAAGGCACCATCCATGCACCTAATAATCCTGACTAATTAACTGTCTGTGGTCTCCTTAAACGGTTCAAGGAGACATCCCTTTTGTTTCTGAGATATTGACTGTCATTGTCGTAGAGAGGGGAACTACAATTCCTAAATTAGATCATGTTTTGGTCCTTCTTAGCATAGGAGGACCGTCAGGTGGGCTAGCTTATGATGGATTTCCTCTATCAGTCATTCAGACCGCTTAAACAGTCAGCTTCTCCTTATTTAGAGGTGTTTGATCATCTACAGGCAATGGGTAGGGATTGTATTTTCTCACATACTATGGCACAATTGGGCTGTCCTCCCTGAATTTGAAAGAGCCTACAGGTTTGCTCTTGAGAGGTGAAGTGTCGGTTAGTGGAAGTATTAGATGCACTGAGTGTGGACCTCAGAATGGCTGAACAGCCATCGTGGGTAGTCTCCAAATGGAGGATGGTCAAAATGATCAGCTCATAGAAACCTTGTGGTGACAAGCTTTTCAAATGAAAACCTCCTAGTGCATGTGGAAGTTGTGACTCTAACAATATTAGTTGATTGGCTCGCATAGAGAATGAAACTGATAATCAGAGGCCTTCTTGATGCAAGAGCTCAAGGACTTGAGGTACAAGTGCTTCATTCTTTAGGCCCAAGCTAACTCGAGTTGACTGAAACAATTTAAGTATGAAGGAGAGTTTGTATTAAGGAGGCTCATCTAGTTGGGTTTCACTCAATCGAGGTCATGATGAATCCTTATAGAATATTTTTTTCTTCTTCTAGTTGATGTACTAACCTTTTGTAATAACACTTTTTTTAATAAATATGTACATGACACTTTATTTTTTATGTTTTTGATGCGATGATAGTTATAATTCCCAGGTTTTAGTCACTTGCACTTTTTGTTTTTTACCCTCATAAATTTTTTGCACCTTTCTTCTTTCTACCTCTTATAAAATGAAAGTTTTGACTATGATAGTTTTATATCTTTCTAATTTTAGATGAAAGAGCATTACACCTCAAGCTATTATCTCAAAAGATAAATAACACCTCAAGCTATGTTTCTATCTCAAAAGATAAATACATGGCTTGACGCTGAGGCTCAATCAAATAAACTAAGAAATGTATGACATTTGTTTGGTCTGTGAAACCATTTTATTTATAAGCTGACAAGTTCCCCTATTTAATATGAAAAATTAAATAGGGTTTATATTAAGATGGGTTCTTGAAAGTTTCCTATAAATGCACGCCCTTATAGTTAATTACATCTTAGATAACCGAAGTCACCTAAGAAAACTCTCGATAAAAATCAGGGAATATTGTCTTCAAGGAATTCAAAGAAATAGGACTTTTCAACTAGATCAGACAAAGAGGTGTGAAATGGGAATGACTTGAGTTTTGAACATTTTATTTTTGGAATCCAAAGGAAGAAGAACTAGGGGATGTCATAGATCCTGAGGAGAACATCGGTGACTTCCCAGTCTATCATATGGTTTGGTTTCAATTTAGAGAAGAAATGTTGAAGTGTTTTATCCTGCCAATTTTATTAATTAAGACTTACATTCGTGTGAAACGATCACTCAAATAACTTGGAAGATGTGAAGATTTAGGTTGTGGCGAACGACAACTTTGGAATTCTAAACAAATAACTTGGAAGATGTGAAGATTTAGGTTGTGGTGAACGACAACTTTGGAATTCTAACTTTGGAATTCTAAAGCGAGTTAGGTCTTATATTGTATAGCAGAGTTATACAAAGGTTTAAATAAAGATAGAGGATCTATGTCGCAATGGGCGGACAACCTCGATGTCCTATGGCTTATTATCTAATTCTATAGAATGGTTTAATTGATGTAGACATGTTTTATTGTTGAAGATGG